AGGGGTCTACTAGAACTCTAATGCCACCTATGGACCTCACAAAAGCCGATAAAGCTCAAATTTTGCTTCACCATTTTCTTCTCCAGCGACAGCAGTCAGACAAATGATTGCCTGAAACAGGAAATGACAAAATCCTTGGGGCTTCCAGGTTCAGTGATCGCAGCAGCCATGATCTTGGTTTTGAGTAAGAGGACATATACAGTATATACATACAGCAGTACTAAAATGGTCAAATTGGAAAATTATACAAAACCACTAAATAACAAAGCCCTGGGCCATCCCCTTTTGCTTTCGCCTCAGGCAGCATCTCTTTGGGTCCCGTGGGGGCGCAGCAGGCAGAGCGACATGGCAGCTTTGCTGCACAATGTTTGCAGTGTGCCTGTCGCCTCCTTTACGGCCTCAGCTTCCCAGGTTGATAAAAGCCGGGCAGGGAGATGTGTAAGGTCCATACACATCTCCCCACCCAGCTCTTAGCAACCTAATCCGTGCTTGCTGGCGTCCCGTCGAGCTCCTGACAACCAGTAACATCACTGGTTGCCACAAGCTTGTCAGGATGCCGACCAGGATGTCTCAGATTGTGAAGAGCTCGGCTCTTGGCGTCGTCATACTCCACCAGCATGATACAAAGTAGATCCAATCACACTCCTGACCGGAGAAATACCTCAGATGTCGAGTGGGTGCTGAAGTGACTGCAGATGCCTCTGCAAATCAAATAAAGTTGGTAGAAAGTCACTCTCACTCCAACTTGATTTTTAGTCAATCTTTTTTATTGACCATGGTTGTGTAACATTGTTAAGCGATTGTGGTCCCTTCTTCAGGCAAACGAAGCGTGCTACTCCACCAGCACCCCTTCCACTGATTGTTCACCATCCAGCACCCCCGGCCACCTCAAGCAACAAAAAGGGCAAGGGACAAATCTGCAAACCTCAATGTATTTTTATACTGAAATAGGTGCTGGATTTAGGGACAGGATCTGCATAGCGGTGCTCCTGTGCTAGTTATAAAAATGATCCCTATGTAATTTTAGACAGAATCAGAATTGGTTCATTGTTCGGAATGTTACTATAAATTGTTTGGCACAAAATAAACATCCCGGTGGGAATAAGTAGAGAATGGCAGAACGGGAAAGGGCAGTTTTAAGTCATTATGGTCAATCACAATGAATATAATTTATCTGGCTTGGACACCAGGGACCACGGTGACAAATGAAATGATGAGTGCCTGGCCTTCTGTTAATACACTGCTTTCATCTCTATACTAAAAAACAGTTTTAGGCATTACAGCTGTATGCAGGTCTGTCTTCATTTCTTGTATTCATTTATAATGGGATGACACAATCCTTGGTGCGTTACATACTGTACATCACTAATATCAGTTCTGGTCCTTATACGTTTATTATCTAATGATCTTTCACCAGGCATGTGCACATTCACAGACAGAGGAAACTCACACCAATGCACAGAGAACATATAAACTCCCTGAGGAAAGTGAACATCATGGAAACTAAGCTCAGGACTTCAGTACTATGAGACAAGCAAGCTAACCCTTAGGGCTCTATTCACATCTGTGCATGGCAGTAGAGCGCCTTACGACAATGCATGGTAACTGACAACACAGAGTGCATTGCAGTGGCATTCATTCATTAGGTTGTCATTTTGAAGTGCACAAAAAATGCACTAGCCAGTGGACACCAATGTTTTAGCAGAACACAACTCAGAGATGAGATTACCTATCTATGTGGTCCATTAAAATCTGCGTTGTGGTGCGTTGCCAATCCATTCAAAATGAGTGTGCGTAGCACACACATTACAAACTGTACAATCCTCTTTAGAGCTACCAACAACTCTATAGCGCAAGGGGCTGTCTGATTGGATTGGATAGTTTAGTTTGGCCCTTATATTATATAGTTTTGGTAAATCCAACGTTAATTGTACGATGAGACCGCAATGTGTATGGTGATCCATTAATGCACAAAGTAACGCACATTATAGTGCAGGCAGTAACACTCTGCAAAAGTCCAAGGATGAGTGTGGATGAGGTGCTGGACCACAAACTTTCTCTATTATTATACAGGATTTATATAGCGCCAACAGTTTGTGCCGCGCTTTATGATGTAGTCCAAAAGGAGCAATATTTGGGCCTGATGGCTCAGTTCCGGCAGCACTTCACAAAACAGTGGGCCCTCTGGAGGGAGGGGACGTCCAGAATGAGAAATCCATGTGAATGAAGACTACAAAAAATGCCAGGTCATCGTCTCAAGAGTCCAAAAAAACCTTTACTGGCTTCACAATTGGTGACAAGAAGATATGCACAGCCAACGTGTTTCTGGGGCCAGGACTCCCCCTTATCAGGGCTTAAACAATAGACAACAGGATGCTGATGGACTCTAAACTTACAGCTCGTGCACCTATTTCTCATGCGGGGGGTGGAAATCCTTGGTGTGAAGAGATCTTTACCAGAAGTTTAGCATTTGTACAAGTAAACACTTTTAGAAATAGGATTGTCTGCAGGGTCTGTACGTTTAGAGTCCATCAGTATCCTGTTGTTTATTGTTTATGCCCTAATGAAGGGGGATTCTTGACCCCCAAAATGCGTTAGCTGTGCATATCCTCTTGTCACCATTTGTGAAACCAAAAAAGTTTTTTGGGGACTCTTGAGACCCCGTGAGCTTCTCTCGTCTTCATACATCGCAAATGTTGGCTATTAGCATTACCTATCTAATATATATATATTTAGGAATTATACTACCCTAAGCACATGAGTGATGGTCATCTTGTGCAAAGGCTTCTCTCTTCCTGACACCAACTATGATGCAATGATTAAAAATAGAATACAGGATCGGAGGCAGCTGTCTGCTTTATATTTATATTTGGGCATCTGCTACTCATTTCCATAAAGAACGCCCCGGACCTAGAAGCTCTGTGCAAACGTTCACTCTGCCTTCTAGGTCTTGTCATCCCGGCCATGTCAATATGGAACTACATCCTGGAGCCCCCTGATAGCTAGAGGAAGCCTAGTCATTCCTAATATGACTTCTCTTCCTTGACATGACAACAAAGGAACACATAGAAACATTTGAAGTGTTTGAATTACATCAAATGTTATGTTGATAATATTTGGGGCAGCATTTTAAAAGGAACCGGACACGGCTGAGAATAAGAAATACTCATATCACCAATCGGAATCTTCAGTTTTAGGCTAAATTTATATCTGTCTTTTATTTCGCTTTATTGACTTGGTCCGAGCTTGATACATCTGCCTAAAGAGAACGTATAGCGGTTTTATATGTAATTTATTTTGTATTTATTGTGGTCAGGCTAAAAGTATAACCTTTAAAAACATGTTTTTTTGTTTAGTATGTCAAGTGTTAAAGCAGGGGTAGGCAACCTTGGCACTTCGGCATGAGGCATTGCAAAGCTCTGACATCCACAAGCATGACTCCCAGAGGCATCATACGATTTGTAGCTTCGCTACAGCTGGAGTGCCGAGGTTACCCATGTGTTAAAGAAGAACTGGCTAGAGTAAAAAATAACAAGGTTATAATCACCCGACCTCCAAGCCAGCCAGCTGTGACAGCGCACACTCCAGCCTGCCTCCTCTGCAGCGATGGTATGTCCCTCGGCGTCCACACGTTCTATACACTGTGTACAGAACGTGATGACTCAGGGACTGCTGCAGTGGAGGGGACAGAGGGGCAGATGGGATCGGTCTAACATCAAGCCAGCTCGGAGGATCGGGTGAGTATAACTTTTTTATTTTTGACCCTATGCAAAAGTGAGCATGTAACCCTTGCACTGCAAGGATTACATTTTTCCCCCAGAGTTTATTCAAATATATCTAAAGCCAAAACTTTTTTATTTAATTTGTAGATCGATTAAGGGAGGTTTAAAACCGCTCTCAGGTTTTTTTTATTGCTATCTATGTCTCATTAGGGAGATTTCCCTTCACTTCGTGTCCTGTAGACTCAACAATATGTATGATATAGCTCCTTTTTGATGTCACAGGTACAAGTGCCCCGCATTGGTGGCAACTTGACATTTTGGATTTCCCCTCACTTTCATTCCTGATGACATTGGTGACCCGGACAGTTAGAGAGAGAGTGACACAGACAGCAAAAAAATCCTGACAGAGCTTCCAATCCCTCACCACTTTATCCAAATCTAGAAAACGTTTTACCTTTAGTTACTGTATACTTTAAATATAGCTTATGAAGGCTTTGAATCCTCCTGTTGGCCAACAGATTGGGCCTTAGGCTCCTTCCAACATTGCCAGGCTCTCTTTGCTGCTTTGATGTAAATAAAGCCTATTGTTCACGAAGCTCAGTAGCTCAAGTGTAACGTAGATGTAAACAATAACTGAATGGCATTTAGTTTGTTAACGCACCATGTATCATAAACAAGTGACTCAAAATGATTCTTTAACCTTTTTCATCCTTTGCTGTTGCATCTCAGTGCTGCTGATCTCCTGCTGCCTCTCTGCAGCCCCCTCCTGTGTCATGCACTCCAGCAATAGCTGCTTGGCATTTCTCAGGGAGGGTGGCAACAGCAGACATTGCCTGAGTTATGTGCATTGAAACGGTCAGCTGTTGATTCCATTGAAAACCCATGTGACAGCTCTGAGTTCCACTGCCGAGTGAGATAACATATCCCCCTCTGGGCACTTTACCTCCTCCCACTGTCTGCTACGTCACTACAGGACACAATACAGGTGCACAACAGGGAGACAGTTGTCACCGTATAACAGGAAGTGTCTGATCGCGGACCATAATGGAAAGACTACTAGATTTGATTTCAATGAAAGCTGAAGATTTAAAAATATGGTCCTTTATGGTGGTCTTTGGAGGATTTCAGGATTTTGTTTCCCAGCAAAACAACCACTTTACCACAGCTAATATGACCAGATATATAAAACAAGTCCAGCATATATTTTAAGAGCATTGAAAGATAATATAAATGTATTATTCTGTATTACTGGTAATAGCTGATGAGCCATGGACTTACCATATCTCCTACTGGTCCGCCATGCTCTGACAGCATAATGCAGAACCCCGTCCATCCAGACCAAGAACCAGCTTATACAAAATCCCAACAATAGTCCCAGCATCAGGTCAATCTCCTGCTTAGTTACATTGTCAGTGACAAAGTAATTCTGTGCTGAGTCCACCACTGACTGGTCTCCATCGTACGGGATGACATAGTGAACATGGTACCTGCAGAAATAGGAACAAAGGAACACAGCAATTAGTAACGAAGCAGACACAATGAATATTAGAGATGAACGAATAATGAAAAATCCGCCTTGCTGGATATTTGGTGGTGACGACACAATTATTCACTTCACCAGGTGAACATGCGCTACCCTGGTCGTAATAGTAAAATAGTAGAAAGTGGTTTTACTTACCAGCTCAGTATAAGTCTTGGTGGCAGCACGGCTTCCCCCTCCAACAGGAAGTTTGTTCCCCCAAGAGAGCATGGTATGCCCCCATGGGGGTCCTCTGCTTAATTCTATGCAAATTAGACAGATCAGCTACTTGAACATGAATTATGCTTTCCTGATTCCCCTGAATGTGTTTGTGCTGATTCTCAATATTCATGATGAATCATATGACTCCTAAATCCCTGCAACCATCATGGTTTGTACAATCCTCTGCAGATAACACAAACCATATATTGTATCTGAGATAAGCAACCTGGCGTGTGCCTATTCCTTTTGGGCCCTAAACCTCTATGGGCCCTGGAAATAAAAATCTGAACTGGTGCTTCTCCCCATACTGTCTGTTCTCAGTTCCCCTTTTTCCTGAATGCCATCAATTCTCTATTTTACTTCTTCCTTTTTCTGCCCCCCCCTACACTTTACTGTTCTACAATATAAATAGACATGCCAGATGACCCTGCCAACTGCTCCTTACCAACAATCCTCTACAGCAAGCAGGGAACCATCTAATGGCCAGCGTAGTGGCACTGCCCCATTCATCCCCTGCACTGGTCCCGTGGTATGGAATGTCACATGACCAAATCCAGGGGACACATGAGGCATGCCACTTATCAGAAGCTTTCCTGTCTTCTGAGGAGGATATTTGGAGAGGACCACTTCAATGTTTCTGCATGCTTGTATGTTGCACTAGTAATGGAGGACACTATAGCGAACAGGGCTGGAGTAGGGGCCAGTTGCAGCCTTGACCACAGTCCCTGCATGACTAATTGAAACAGTCCCTGGAAATTATTAATAGTGTCATAGACATTCATTAGAAATGTCTCCTGTCCATGCAACAATGGCGCAACATGCAACAGATCCATGTTTCTGTCGGTAAAGTGTATAGGAATCTGTTGTCATATTGTGAGACAATACTTGAGTAGCCTTCTTGTCCTAAGCTGGGTGACTCCTTAAATTTAGTTCTGCTGAACTGTAGCCAGTCTACGCTGATTTAATAGTTCTGTGCTCATTTGTTTGTTTCTGCCCGCTGCTGGGGTACGACCTTGCCATAGAGCAGAACATCCAATAATGTGGTTATATAGTTATGAATATGTGTGCCTCCCTAGCCAATCATTATGAGGTTTCTTGGCCAGTGGTGCATCCTGGGGGAGGACATCAATATTCGGGACTTACCTTGTGAATGTCTTTTCCCCCCGGGCTCATGCATAGGTGTGCGTTGCGCTATGCAATCTGGCCAGGCCTGCAGCCCAGGGAAAAGTCTTCAGGAATGGAGACCTAGTGTCTGGGCCTACAGCTGTTATCTGCAGGAGAAGCTGGAATTTGGCTTGGACCTTGCAGGGAGTCTGGTGTCTCACCAGGGAGTTCTGTGCTATGTCTGCTAACCAGCTAAAGTTCTGTCGCACACAGTGTTGCTGCAATCAGCTTAAAGCAGGGGTGGTCAACTCTGGCCCTCCAGCTTTGCTTTAACTACTATCTCAACATGCCTCTGCCTCTGGGAGTCATGCCTGTAACTGGCCTACAGGCTCTCTCCACTGTGAAGCGGGATCTAGTTGTCTGTGGCCCTTAACCCTCTCTCCTTTGTGAGCTATCGCAGGAATTAAATCTTTGAAAACTTGACCGGCGCCCAACTTCACATTCACATCCCACAACCAGCTAAGAACTCATCCCTGAGGTGAAATGTGAGCCCACCCAGCCTCTGGGGTCCCTCACATACTTCTGGGGGTCATGCTACACATGTGAGACATAACTTACATCAACCTGGGAGAAGTCTTATGTGCCTCCACTTTTCTTATTACCAATATGGCGTTATTTCTTAATGAATTAGTTGCAGTCACAGCGCCAGAAGTGTCACAGATAAGAATTTGTAGCATGCCCCGGAAATGCCACGAAAACTATTAAATGGTTTCATGAATTTGGTGCAGGACTTTCTAATGCGGCCATAATGTCAGAAAAGCATTGCAAATGTTTGAGGTTTTTTTTAATCACCCGCCCTCCCCAGTTCAGACATCAGATTAGCCAAATTTAGAGCAAATTGCATACTGCTTTGTTTCATCTCTATTTCCAGGACAGATGGGCTCCTGATCCGTCTCTTTCACTCCTCCATATTCCGAGGTGTGTTTTTCACGGCACAGAATAGGCTTCTTTTGCAGTCAGTAGAGCTCGTGTCTCTCTGCAGTTGCTCACCAGGGGATTAATGGTACCGAGCTCTGCATCTGTGGCTGCAACCGCTCTGACACAATGCAGCAATAGCACAGGTAGCGAGGGTGATGCGGAGATACCAGGGGCTCCCGCTAGTCAGCGGCTGCTTGACTGCATTCAAGAGATGCCAGAAACATGCCAGTGTTTGCTGTAAACAAAGGCTGCACGGCTGAATACATCCCCGACTTAGAAATGACTTAATGTTCCATACCTGCAAAAATAGAAGCCTCTGTTTACTCACAGAGAGCTTCCATCAAACTGCAGAGACCAAGCTCGCAAACAGGCTGAGGGCTGTCAGTGGAACTGCAGCAGGTGCGCACTGTGAATGCTCTAAGGGGGTCTATTCATAAGGAGGGGGTCAAAGGCAGCTTCACCCAGGCTCTGACAAAGCCTTGGTTATAAAGCAGTGGTATGACCTTACAGCTGCAATACCACTGCTTTCATTGTAATAAAAATCTCATTTATAAAGCACAATGTTATGCTTTACAAATGTGCATTACACTCTGCTTGCAAATGGTGTGCTAGTCAAAGGAATGAAGGGAAAAAGAAAAAGCCAGGAGAGCCCAGTGATGAGACCTGTCAAAGTCATGTGATTAGCCTCACCTCCAATCACAGAATTCGCTGTGATTGGAGCCCGCAGAGTGCATTCCCTGACACACTGCGGGCTCCACATTACCAGCTACATTTTGTAAATGGGGGGTACCTGATCTGGAGTAAACATTTTAATGGACTCTAAGTTCTAACTGAAGGGCACCAAAAAATGAATGGTTGTGAATGGGGCTAGTTCATACCACTCCGTTCCCTTGTGTTGAAAAAAAAGTACAACATGCAATACTTTTTTTTGCCTCGCAATGTAACGCAACAGATGTGGGGTGCACTAGCCCATTTCGCACCCATTCATTTTTCGGTGCCCTTCTTAATCTGTTGACTTGCAATTTCCTTCAGATTTTGGTTGTGAATGCACCAATAAAGCTTAGCTCCAAGATAAGCAAATATTGTCTAAATACAAGAGGCATGTGTACTCATACTAATGGTGAGCTCTGTAATTCCTTTCAGATGTGCCCAGTAATCAAGAGTGAAACTTTCCCTCTGTGCAGTCTTGTAATAAAAACCAGTCACTGCTGCTCTCTCACCTTGTGCAGGGTGACTGGCCTTGTCTCGGCCCCTTCTTGTAATAAAGACCGGTCACTGCTGCTCTTTCTCCATCTGTAGAATGACTGGTCATGTCACCGCCTCCTCCTGTAGTTTTCCTGTAGTGGTCCCTTCCACACCTCTGCTCCCTATACAGGCTATGTACAGCACAGTGAGGAAGGATGTTGCCACTATATTCTTTGTGGCTATTGATAAATACTGTATATTCAAATAAAAGTTTTTGTACTCAGAGTTCAGCTTTAAAGCTGAAATGTGGGCTAAACAAGTACTGGGGAAGTACAAGAACCATGTAAATTCCTACTTGATTCTTGGTTCCTTTGTAATTCTTCTGTTCCCCGCAGTCTCTCTCCCCCTGATTGTTCACTTCTCCTGCCTTCCCCAAACTCTTTTTGTGAATATCCCCAAATGTTTTTTTTATTGTACCCACACTTACACTCTAATTAAAATATAGCGTGTACAATCATAGTAACAGTATATGGGTGCTTTGCTGTGGATTGTAAGCAAGTAGATCAAGTGGATGGGTCTTGGCCCTATCATCACCACATTAGGGTGCAAAATCAGAAGGAAATCGCAAGTCATCAGAGGGCTTGTTGACTTGCAATTGTACCTTCAAATTTCCTTCCGATCCGTTGTGATTTGTTTTTCAACAGATGCTAATGAATTAGCACCGAAAAATGAATGGGTCTGAATGGGGCTAGTTCACATGGGATCCGTTGCGTTACGTTGCACTGAAAAAAAAAGTAGTGCATGCTCTACTTTCTCTCAGTGCAACTTAACGTAATGCAATGGAACGGAGCGGTGGGAAGTAGCCACCTTCACACCCATTTATATTTCGGTCCCCTACCGTTAGCATCTGTTGAAAAACAGATCACAACGCAACAAATCCGGTGTGAATGGGCCCTTACTCTATGTTCGAAACAGAGACATCTGATTTTCTCAGTGCCTCAGCTTTCCAAATTAATTTTACATTAATTTTCAAATTTTCTGTTCTGGCGGAATCCCTAGTAAGAATTCCCGTTCCACCACAGAGAAAATAGAGTTTTAATTTTTTTGTTTAATAGGTTCGTACCATTGTAATTATCATTTGATTTCTCTGCAGGTTTATGATTCATCTCCCGGGCCCCATGAAAGTCTATGGGGTTTATTAGCACATGTGCAGACGTAAGGTGAAGAAGCCGGTGCAAAGGATCTAATCATTGTGTGGTCCCTTGGTAACGAAAACTTCGTAAGTATAGAATACATCTTTGGGAGGGGAGGATGGACTATCTCAGCTCAGTGGGATGCAATTAAAGGGTAAGGAAGCTTTGTTGGAACATTTCCTTATTCTTTAATGTTACTATATTATATGTTACTCACTATATTGAAAACCTAAAAGCAGATCAAACAATTCTTATCAGTTCCACTACCTGTGTTGCTGAACTCCTCTGGGTATTCTGTTCCCTGTTCTCAATTCTGGAGAGAAAATTGCACCTGAAGACCTGCAGTGCATGCATTTCTCTGCCCCTCCTTCATTTATTGTGGGGATCTGTGACTCCTCCACCGTTCCTTCTGCTTCATTACCCCCCATCAGTCATCAGGGGGCTGCTCTGACATAAGGGAGCAAAGTCCTGCTATTCTACCAAGATGGCTACCTCCACAGAGAGGCATAGTTCTGAACAAGGCATGGTAAGTCAGTAATGGGGAAGGATCAGCTGCAGGGATACCACAGGCAATACTGGGGATTGGTCATTCGCCCTCTGCTTGCCTTTTTTAGCACAAATTCCAGAGTTTGGGTCATCTTTAATGACTTTACTTTGCATTGTAGCACACCACAGTGAGTGTGGCATGTAGTGTATAAACCACATCTGGTACAACACATCCCTTAACTAACATTGTGCCCCCAGGTGGAAATGTAGACTAGAAGTAACACTGCTTCGAGAAGCACCTCTTTATCCATGTATAAAAGTGAAATCTGCCCTTTATGGTCCAAATCTGGAGGAAGGGGGGTTGAGTAAGGCCACATTGCATAGCTTTGTTCCTAACCAATCAGTGTATGTTTTTTTTATATTTTAGGTATGTTTTGTCAAAGGAAAAGACCATCTGTTGTGTTCGCCTCCTGTGTCTGTCTGGCTTGACAACACACATTCTGCTCTTCATATTAACTGTAGAGGACTCATCATTACTTTCTAAGCACAGTTGCAGTTACTGGAATTGAAAAAGCTAACTGTGCAGGCCAATATAGAATGTATTCATTATAATAGAATGGACTTGGATTTATCTTGTAATCCGTTGCACATTAAGGATAACAGACTGGAAGAGTAAGGGAACACTCAGAGTGCTGTCAGTCTAACACAGGGGAAGGCAACCTTGGTACTCCAGCTGTAGTGAAACTAAAAATCCTATCATGCCTCGGCCTCTGGAAGTCATGCCAATGGATGTAAGTGTCTTGCAATGCCTCATGGGATTGGTAGTTTCACCACAGCTGGAGTGCCGAGATTACCTACCCCTGGTCTATCTGGTCTTTCTGAAATAAAAGCAGATTGATTACTCATTAGTGTGAAACAGCTCATTTTAAGTACATGCATGCTGAGTAATGCCTAAGTATAAGACTTCCAGGTATGTATTACCTCTCAGAAAGATTACAGTACTCCCCTGACAATGCCTTCTTCTGCTTTTCTCATTGGACGGATGGGGGTATTTTTGCCCATGCACTATTCAGGGTCAGCATTTACTTCTTGGACTGAAATGTTGGCTCAGAGAAGACTTGGCCAAGTACGTCCTGCTGCCTATGTGGTTCTTTGCAATGTTGCAGTCTGCTCACTGGGGGGAAAGGAGACTAAGGAAATACTTCTTCCTGCCTGCAGCAGATTGATGATATCATCTCAGCTTAAGCAAAGTCACTGACCGGAGCTCAAGGACAGCTTTTAACTGACAAAAGGTGCAGCCTATTAAAAGATATATAGGGTGGCTCTATATTTTGGCAGCAGAAATTAATTATTGCAGACTTGGAAAGTTGCAATGGAGGGCCAAGGCCAACTGTTGGAGAAGGGGGGGAAGAGTTGGATCACAGGACTTTCCAAAAATATTTTTTTTTGGTTACGTGGCCAGCCAACACCAGGTGTTTTAAAAGCCCAATATCAGTTTTGGATCACACCCTGCTCTGCCCTAATGAAAAGCTTGGTCTTGATATTTTGTAACTTTTTTCTTTCTTAAAAAACTTAAATCAATCCCAGTTCTTACAAATCTAATAGAGTTTCAACTAGCAGAAAAAGAAGGGGATGTGAAGGCAAGAGGGATGCGTATTAATGCTGTGCAGAATCTAAAGTTAGTAGTTATACCCTAATTGCCTCAATTCTACTTTATTCTATTGCTGAATCCTGACAGTGGTGCATATTTCATCGCTTTCCACAGGTAATATCTGAAATTGTCTATGTACAGAAGTGAGTGCCCCTTCAGATCAATAACTGATTTTCTTCCACAGGGATTCATATATTGATTAAACCTGCAGACGCCTGGGTTGATTTAAGATATTGATGCTAATAGGCAGTTAGGGCCTCAGACATCAATTATTTCATTCACTTATTAAAACTGGAAAATTAGTGGGAGACAGTGATGCTGTTTACAGACAGGGAATCCTTCATCTAACCAACATGACTTGTCCATAATAGAATTATATAAGACCTTGGGTACTTCTGTTTAGGGATGAGCTCAGGTTCAGACTGAACCGGGTCCAAACCTGAGCGCCTCCAAACCTGAAAAGAGCTCCTCCTAAACAAGGAAGTATGTTCCTTCCATACTGCTCAATCAGCTGTGGTCACAAAATTCCCTGCCGAAGCATAGTGGTGGAATGCAGTGACGCCATTGACCTTATATGGTTACATGGCTATATTTGGTAAATGGCATTTACTTAATATGGCTATGTGACCATATAAGGTAAATTACATCAGCACAAGCATCCCATCGCTTTGTTTACATGCAGCTGCGGGCAGGGAATGTCCTGGGGTGGAAGTGCCCGTGGCACTTCCATGTTCGGAGCAGCTTGAGTTCAAACTGTGTTCTGTCCAAACCTGAGCTCATCCCTATTCCTGTTACATATGGTGCCTCCACTTTAAAGTGGACCTGAACTATGAAAGCTGTTCCCAAAAAAGGGCAACCACAGGACTAGACACCACTTTTACATTTATGCTCTCCGTGGCTGATCCTTACCCCATTTCTGACTTACCATGACTTGTTGTACACTGTGTCTCTGTGTGGAGGAGGCCATCTTGGTAGAGAGCAGGAATTTGCCTCCTCATGTATGAGCTGCCCCCCTGATGAATGGGTGGGATAGTGTTTAAGATTCAGCAGGAAGTATACTGCTATTTATAGGAGAAATTCAAGACAAGAGGTAACATTTTCAAGGTAATGCTTAGGCAAAATAAACATTTCTAGATGTTGCCTATAAGATAGCAAAACTTCACTTTTTAAGTTCAGGTGCACTTTTCGGGGTAGCACTAGATCACATGATCTAATACTAGGTATGCACTGATATATCGGCCACCGAAACATATCGGCCGAAAATGGCACTTTTGGCATAATGCCGAAAGTGCCATTTTCTAGCCGATACAGTGGTGCATACAATCTTTCTCTCCTCCCCGCTAGGTGCTGCTCTGTGACCCAGCGGGGAGGAGAGAAAGCCCTCGTTCACACCTGAACGTTTTGTAGCGCGTTCTACGCTCGAAGAACGCTCTACAAAACGCTCAAAAATATAAATTGCATTGGAGTCAATGGACTCGTTCCCACCTTGCCGTATTTCCGCCCGTCCCGAACGCGCTACAAAACGGCCCACGCCTGAAAAGGTACAGGCACTACTTTGGGCCGTTTTGTAGGGCGTTTTCCATTGGAATACAGCCAAGTAGCCTTTGGAATCGCGCGACGGTCGTGCGTCTTTTCTACCGCGAATCGCGGTAAAAAGACAGACGCGCTTTTGCAATACGCCTAGGTGTGAACCCAGGCAAACTGTCACAGGTGGCCGAGCGCTGCAAGAGCAGAGCACTGTGAGTTAAAGTTAAAATAAAAAACATTTTCGGTTTCGGTATCGGCCTGACATTTTTTTACATTTCGGTTTAATTTCGGTTTTGAAATTTTCATTTCGGTGCATCTCTTTCTAATACATGTAGTTGTTGGAGTCTGCAAACTCCAATGTGTGTATGCTGTTACTGTCTATTAGTATTACTCAAACACAGTGGTGAGCAATGTATTGTCTTAATATGATATAGGACACTCTTATAACAAGCTAGTTTAAAAAAATAGATACGCACCATATAGTGCCGCCACTATAAAATTTAGGAGGGTCACATGTTTTGATATTGTAGCTATGTGTCGTTGATGATGTTGCGGGCGTCTTTTAGGAGTTAAGTCCATTTTGCGCATACTGCTGATCTGTTCCTGTGTTCAGCTTTCAATAAAGGATTAGCTTAAAACCCTACTTCCCGTTTGACTTATTTTGCTAAGATTAACCAGAACCCACGTACACCAGAGATCCTGTGGTCAGGAACAGCTAAGAATTTTTTTAACAGAAGCACCAGAACATAATGCCGGGAAAACTATCCCACCAAGCAAAATCCAACCATTGCAAGTGACCATAATACAATTCTATTATACAGACCTGGAACGCTATGCTGCCCAGTATGATCTGACCCTAAATGTGGTCATTATATAATAACTATATATGAAGACTTTATTCCTAATATGAACTCATAACTAGACATGATCATAATACAATATACTACACCACATAGGGATATACCACAATATCTACCACAAGGCTGGACACCTAGGCATCATAAAAGAGTTCCATTATCCTTTATACGGGTATAAACATTACACCCCCAACAAGACATGACCATTGGAGGGCCTAATACAGTTATGATGTCCTCCTTACAGGGATAGAGACTACACTTCTAACATCCCCTGGCCATTGGGCATCATAATACAGTTCTATTATTCTTTGTACAGGCATAGACCCCCCCAACATTACCTGAACCACTGCAGATTATAATACAGTTCTCTTATCCTCTGTACTGGCATAGACAGTACACTCCAACATGACCTGACCATTGTAGATTATAATACAGCGATATCCTCTCTACAGGCATGAACAGTACACCCCCCCCCCAGCAGGACCTGACCATTGGAGATTATAATACAGTGATATGTTCGGTACAGGCATGAACAGTACACCCCCCAGCAGGACTTGACCATTGTAGATTATAATACTGTGATATCCTCTGTACAGGCACAGACAGTACGCCCTCATCATGACCTGACCATTGACAATTAATTATAATACTGTGATATCCTCTGTACAGGCACAGACAGTACACCCTCATCATGACCTGACCATTGAGGATTATAGTGATATCCTCTGTGCAGACACAGACAGTACACCCTCATCATGACCTGACCAGTGGAGATTATAATACAGTGATATCCTCTGGCAGTATGCCCCACATGACCTGACCATTTGAGATTATAATACAGTTCTATTATCCTATGTAATGTGATATCGCTACTTAATCCTCAGAAGGCTGGATTTCCATTTTGCGTGCCTGAAGGCACGAATGGAAATCTGTTTAGCCTGAGCCGGCACCCTTACCTGCTGCGGGACCCGCTGGCTTTCACATATGCAGAGAAGGACGCCGGCGTCACGTAAGGCTGCCATAAACGACTGTCTACATCAGACAGGAGTTATACAGGGCAGCCTTTTTCAGTGGCGGGGTCCTTCCCCTGCCTTTGCGGAAGCTGGTGGTTTCTGTAAGCGCAGATGGTCTTGAAGCAGGACGGTGCATTTTGTGCACAATGCACCCCCCTTGCTATAGCCGGTGATGTATGTGGACACAACACCGGGAATTAAGCAGTGTAAGTACCTGCATGGCGCCCCTCTATGGAAATGGAAAACCAGTAAAACATTTGACAGATGTTTTAGCCCCTCACCACCCTATCCAGAAATAGAAATACCCTTTGGCTGGAATTTTATTTTGTGGTTTCACCTCTTGACACATTGTAGCTCTAGTAGTTACAAAAGAAAGTTAGACCTTACTACGGTAAAGAGCCTGGCACCTATAGCTTTGAATGGACCCACATGGTTGCCGCAGTAGTAATAATAAAAAAAAAAAAAGAGTTGCTTTGCCTTTAAGTTGGAGACTGACATCTCAGCACT